AAATAAAAAGGCAAGTTGTGTTCGATTTTTGCTGTTGGTATCGATGTTCGTGCTTCATCACCGGACATGGTTTATGTTCTAGTATCTTCTTAACCTTTTCGGCTCTAATACCTTTCAAGAGAAAAGGATGGAAAATTGTTTACACTTCCATTCATTAAAGGCCCATAATTTATGCAAAGTTAAAACCTAGAATAACAAGTAAAACATGTATTCACCAGAAAACTTCTAATACGAAACTTATTCTATCCCATTGAAAAGACATACAGTAATGTAGGGGCAGATTCAAATAAAAACTAATTTTCCATTCTGAACCAAGGGACAAATCTTAATCATTGATCAAAATTAAAAAAATTAATCAATGGTTAAAACATAAAATGTTTAGTTAAGAAGTGGTTAGAGGCAAAAATGGAAGTTTGAATCACACACCTACCTTATTTGACCTTTTATTTTCTTTTTTAATTAAGAAAATTTACCCCCTTAATTTTTAAACTAAATTATCTTAAAAATAATTAATACTTTTAATAAAAAATTACGTTAAAAAAAATGAGCAGTTTATTTTCTTTGATTTGACATCCATCTCGATATAATTTTTTTTTTGTTTTAACCGTTTTTTACGTGAAATGACTTATATGTGTAATATTCATTATGAATATTTATGCATGTTCATATGTTTACAACAACTTTTTAATATTCATACATACTATGATATTTATTATGAATATACAACTCAACATAACATTCATCATGAATAGTTACGTATTTTCACATATATTCAACAAATCTTCAATATTCATACGTCACTATGACATTCATCATTAGTATACATTTTTATTTTAACATTCATCATGAATATAAATACTATTCATCATAAATATTTATGTATGTGCACATATATACAATAACTCTTTAATATTCATACATCATCATGATATTCATCATAAATATACGTTTTCACCATAAACGTTAGTCTTATATATACATGTGTGTGTGTGTTCACGTTTATACAATAACTCTTTAGTATTCATATATCAATATGATATTCATCATTAATATACATTTTCACTGTAAGTCTATAACATATATCATGAATATTTATATATGTTCACGTGTATACAACAACTTTTTCAGTATTCATATATCAATATGATACTTATCATGAATATACATTTTCAGTATAACATTCATCATGAATATACGTACTATTCTGAATATACATATTATTCATCATGAATATTTATGTATGATTACATGTATACAACAACTCTCTAGTATTCATACTAGCATGATATTTATTAATATTAATTTTCATCATAATATCCATCATGAATATACTACAGTTTCAACTCTACGTACTCTAGTTTTCTTTCTTTTTCTTTATTGGGTTCTCGATTGATATGACAAGTTCCCGATTTGGCTCAATAGGTTTCCTGATCCATCTCGATAAAAGTTGAAGGTGGTAGGTTATGGTTTTATACAAACAAACACACAATAAATTTATCGTTAAGTTCTCAATCGGTCTCGAAAAAAATTAAGGTGTTAGGTTTGATTTTATACACAAACCACACACTAAGTCAATGGATGGATTCTTGATTATTCTCGATGGGTTCTCAATTGGTCTTGATCGGTTCTGATGGGTTTTCGATCGGTCTCGATGTATTCTTGATTGGTCTCGATGGGTTCTCCATCTATCTTGATAAAAGTTGAAAGTGGTAGGCTATGGTCTTACACCACACAAACACAATCGATAACTTCTAGATGCAAAATAAGGTGGTAGGCTATGGTAAACACATAAACACACACCAAGTAGATGAATAGATTTTTGATTGGTCTCGATAGGTTATCGCTCAGTCTCCATAGGTTTTCGTTCGGTCTCAGTAGATTATCTCTCAATTTCAATGGGTTCCTGATCGGTCTTGATGGGTGTTGGTTACGTTGATGAACGACATGGTGCCATGTTACATACTTATGACATTGAAAAAAGTGATGTCGAGTTATAGACTTTCGGTGTCGAACTGTTGTACACACTTGAACATACAAAAATATCCATAAAGAATATTACACATATTTAGCATTTCACGTAAAAAACGGTTAAAACGAAAAACAAAACTATATCGAGATTAATATCATATCGAAGAGACTAAATTCTCATTTTCTTAATGTAATTTGTTTGATTAAAATATTAATAATTTTTAAAATAATTTAGTTTAAAAATGAAATGTTAAAAGTTTTTAATTAAAATGTAAAAGAAAAATTTATATACTAATCGTGAGAATGACTTAAATAGATTTTCTCTTTTACTGTTAATCACCTTAATTAACAATTTTAATTAATCAAAAAGTCTATTTAATATGAGTTGTTGTATTAAACACAAATAGAGGTTTAAGATTTGTCCATCGATTTATAACGAAAAATTGGTTTTTATCTGAAGCTTTCTCCACTCTTTTAATATATATCCCATACTTATCTTAATAGAGACATTGACTTTAAAATTTGCAACTAATATTAGAAATGAATTCGTACGACTTTTGGTTTTTATTTGATAGAAAATTTAGTTTTTATTAGGGGATGTTTGAGATTGTTTATAAAAACAAATTATTGACTTATTCCAGTGTGACACTGGTAATAACCACTTTTGAGTGTTCGAATAAACAACTTATAACGGTGCCAAACCGGTAATAAGAAGTTTTTTAAGAAGTTAAACTCTTCTAACTTATAATAAATTGATAAGGGCTTTAATAGCAAAACATAAGTTGTTTCAAATAAACAATCTCAAAACCCTCTTAATAACTTGCTTGTTTTATAAGGTTTTGTATTTTATGTATTACTTTTTATAACTGTTTTTGAAAATAGTAGTTACCAATATTAGTAGTTTTTATGTTTTCTTAAAATAAAACCATATGGACGTTAATAATACTATAAGGGTATTCGTGCAATGCAGCGAGATAACTCTTCATTTTAATATTTTTTTTTATTTTTTGTCTCTATCGATATCATACAATTTTATGTGGTTTTGAGAACACGATAATGTTTTTATTATTTGAATGAAATATAAGTTTGAAGATAACATAAAAATTTGAAAAAAATAAAATCGATATTAGCATCAAATTAACTATTTAATAATTATCGTTTTTTTGGTGTAACTTATTTAATTCAACTTTCTTATAATTTCATTTAGATTTATAACAAAGTAATTTATATTTGGTTTAATAATATAATTTGTCACAGAGATAATATTAGAACTCAATGATTATCTTAATTATATTTTAAATTTTTTATATTTAAAATGAATGTTTATCCTGTATTTGATTATGTTTATCTACAGTTAGTTACAATGGAGCTTTAATAGATTGTACTTATGCAAAATTATTTGTAAAATTGAATTTTAATTAATATGCATTAATAAACAGTATGTCATGCATAGAAAATGATTTTTAAGAGTTTTTGTCAAATGTTTTATAATATAGTATAGATTTAGAGTATTTTAATGACGTAAATAATAAATATTTTCTCAATAAGTAATATAAAACATAAATATATTATATATAAATTTTTTGTATCTTTTCTAATACTTTTAAATAAATAATATTACAACAAATTTAATATATTATTATTCGTTACCTCAAATTTAACCTAGTCATTATAAAATAATTTAGCCGCAAATTTCATATTTGATTTGTTTGAAATATACAAAAGAACAAATAAATATAAGAATAAATTACGGATTTGGTCCTGACGTTTGTGATTTGTGATGGATTTTGTTCTTTTATCTTCATTTATTGCATAATAAACCTTTACTTATGCATTTTGTTTTGATTTGTTCTCCCCCTAACATTTAGGGCATCTCCAGTGCATGACACTCTACCAGAGTGTCATGGACTGCCACATCARCATTCCACTCACCATACAACTCTATCATTTTATACCCACACTCCATAACACTCCAATGAGTTTAATAGATTTCCACATCATATATATATATATATATATATATATATATTATCTATAAATATAATTTTACCAACAAATTTAAAAATCTACTAAAAACAAGGAATAATACATTAAAATGAAAATGAAACGAAATTAAAATACATTTAATAAAAAGTACGAGACTAAAATACATCAGTTAAAAAGTACCAAAGCTAGAAAATGAAATTAAAACTAAATGTAGTTTATGTAATGTATTTTAAAATTAATGTAATTTTAAAATTAATGTAATATCTTATTAATGTAATGTATTTTGAAATTAATGAAATGTTTTATTAATTATGTTGTTTTTATAAATTAAGAAAAATAAAAATAAAAATTAATGTAATATCTCCCCATGATGCGTGCAATGTCCATTAAACTCTTCCCCATTAAACTCCCCATGACACCCTTCACAATGCATGATGCATGTCATGGTTTCCATTAAACTCCCCATAACACCCCATTGAAGATGCTCTTATTATCAATCTCCGTTAACTTTGAGAGAAAAAGGGTCAAATAATCAATTTTCTTTATTTTATTATTTTTAAATTACTTTTTAATAATATTATATCATATATATATGTGTATATATATAGAAACACATGATATACTTATATACAGTTGTACACATAATGGTATTATATAATTAAAAAAATCTTAAAATAAAGAAAGTGGGTAAAATGACCATGTTACCCTTGTAATTAACGAAGAGAATAGATGGACGTTAGGAAAGAGGGACCAAATCCAAAATAAAATGCAATAAATGACCAAATCTGTAATAAATCAGAAACATCAGGGACCAAATCCGTAGTTTTAGCTTTAAATATTAAAAGAAATAAGGTAAAATTAGTTGGAATAAAGATCGGAAAAATCAGAGAATTGATATATTATTCAAAGTGGGACACAGGAAATAAGAGGTTATCACGCGCTGACAGATAAGAGAGCTCCACGTGTCCATTATCTGGAACGCTCTTCACGGGATTCTCTTTTCTTCCCCACTCCCTCCTCTATCTTCGTTCTTGACACGTCCTTATTTTATTTTTAATTTTCATTTAAAATTTTGTTTTTGTGCTTCATTTTCCATCAATCATCAATGATAAGGAGCGTATCACACCGATGAACCAAACTGCTACCAATCAAATCCCAAATCAATCAAAATCATCTTTGTTTTCCGTTCCTCATGATCGATTCTGCATCTCCAGATACCCATATTTCACTTGTCGATTGACCTTTCATCACCACTTTCTACTGTTCTGATCTTCTCTCTTGCTTTTTACTCCATCCCATGGCAATATGTCGTCGCCTACCGCTCTTTCTCCTTGCATTTTTCTGTTTTCTTGGCCTTCTCAGCGCCAGCGATGGCGATGCTCATCCGATTTACATGTAAGTTTAACTGATTCCCGTTTTAATACTTTTACTCATCGGATTTTTGCTTCTATTTACCCTTTGTAATTTTGGTATTTGGGTTACTTTGATTTTGTAATTCGTATCATTTTTTAGTTTAATTGTAGCTCAAGAACAAGTGCTTAGATTTTTCTACGTTTTAAACCCTAACTTATGAACTTCAGCTGATCTCAGTTCACTGCAGATTTTTTAAGTTTACTTTAATTTAGGTGAAAGCGCTCAATTTTTATCATTACGATGCCGCAATTGATATTTCTACATGTTGTATTTGTTAGATATCGTAGTCAATCAAGGTAAGGAAATATTGTGGTCGGTTGAGCCTGTTAAAGAAAGGGTCAAGAGTGGTCACGGTTATCAAAGATATAACACGGCCAGATTGAGATAATAAACCACAGACCAAAAGTTATGACATGTGCAGGCCAATTCATTGTTTTTAAGCATTGGATTGTCAAGCATAAAAAGAGTAGAAATTTAGATTCAAATGAACCAGTTCTGAACTTACAGTTAATTAATAGTATATAGGAGTCAAGACCCTTGTAGCCATAGCTATAAATACCTGATGGTGATAAGTTTTAAAAGATTATTACAAAAGCATATGTTATATGAATTCCTCAAAATCTCCATATACGTCATCATGTTTACTTGTTTAGTCAAGATTTATGAGATACTTCATCTGGAGGATTTTTCTTACTCTTTGTGATTGCTTGTGGCTTTTTTATTGCACAATTCTCCCATTTTAGATGGACCATAAACTCATCCAAGCTTCAATCTCCAATTACTATATTTAATACGTCTTTAATGCTTCCCAAAGTCATTATTATAAAAAGTAAGCTATAAAGAAAATGTGAGTCAGACACCCGAGATAAGGAATTTGATAAACGGGAATTGGATGGTTAAAACTTAAAATGGCCAAAGGAAAAGAATGGACATTTGTTTTGGAGCATATGGACCATCTTTGATTCCAGTGAGACATATCTTCACCTAGATGGAAATGTCTATCCCAAATTTTACCCAAATAGTCTCTTCATTGCTTGACTTTGTTATACATTCCTCAGACTTACCAAAGAAGCTGCGCTCATGATGTGAACACATATTGTAAGGTAACATCACCTGTTTCAGGCTTTTAAAGCACTAATATTCTTTTACATGCAATTTCTGGTTGAATAGAGCTTGTGTGGAGCAATGCGAGAAGACTGGATGTGTGGGGGATATCTGCTTTCAACACTGCAATTTGACTTCTGATAGGAAGTCTGCCAATGATCCATGGTATCTGCAAGAGCCACTGTATATAAAATGGAAAAGTTGGGACTGTCTTAGTGGCTGCCGATATCAATGTATGCTTGTTAGGGAGGAAGACAGAGAGAAGTCTGGAGATATGCCTGTCAAGTATCATGGCAAATGGCCACTCCAACGTGCCTTTGGGATTGAGGTGCTACAAATTGTTGTACTTTTATGTTGATTATTTGATCATTATATGTTGCTTTCTTGAGTAAATGTTATTCTTGTTTGCAGGAACCTGTGGCGGTGGCACTCTCTGCTCTTAATCTTGCTGTTCAATTTCAGGGATGGGTATCATTTTTCATCCTTGTGAACTACAAGTTGTCTTTAAGGCCAAATAGGCAGACGTACTACGAATATACTGGGCTGTGGCATATCTATGGAACATTATCAATGAACTTCTTATTTTGGAGTGCTGTTTATCACAGTAGGTACGTAGTGGTCTTCTTCATCTTTTCCTGCTCTATGGTAAACATACATGCATTGTCATGTAACACTACTGTGCACAAATGTTCATCGGTATGCCAGATATTATGTAGGAGTATTAGAACTTTGTCTTCAGTGGATAACTGCTGACTTTATGTTATTAGATAGTGTGCTAAGGTGTATGTTTCTGATAAGCAAAATAGTCTTGAAATTTTAATGACTCGTACCTGAAACTTTTTTCATATGTCCAATTTGTTTGGTTATCAGCTTCTACTGCCTAGGGTGAAAACGGGCCTTTTTGGCGCACCTTAAGATAGGAAAAACATCTAAAGCAGTACTACTGTGTGCTTTTAAATATAAACTTTTCTGTTGTCCTTGTCAATTTAATAGCCATGACCTAGTTAGGATTTTTTTCACTTACTGCTCGTGTAAGAAAGAGATTGGTGCTTCTTATGAATCTTGTCATTATGACTATAAGAAGCAGCCATTACTAGTCTATTTGAGAAACCCTTCTATAAATTAGCAGCATATGCTTACTGGGTTTCCTTGTTGGATATTGTGCGACTGAGTAATTTTTCAGGGATGTGGAAATTACGGAAAAGCTACATTATTCTTCTGGTGCAGCGGTACTTGGATTTTCTCTTATAGTGGCTATACTGCGAACTTTCAATGTGAGAAGTGAGGCAACGCGGGTGATGGTTGCTGCTCCATTGATTGCTTTTGTGACGACTCATATCTTGTATTTGAACTGCTATCAGTTTGACTATGGTGAGCAACCCTCCTCCCCAGATAAAAGATTATAAGAACGAATAGATGCCTGCATCCCAATTGTTGTTTGTAATCTGGAGTGATCATGGTGGGAATGTTCCCTACACCCCCATATTAATGAGAGATACTTGGTGCATTTGATGGGAACTACCCATAATTTTCAGACATTGTGGATAAAATTCCATGATGTACTCAGCTAGTAGGCTACATAATTTTGATCCAATCACTGTGAGATCGTAAACATGAATTAGCTGTCAACCGATGTTTTTGAAGTGACAAATTTTGTTCTTCGCTTGCAAGTAAACATCCACGTTATACCTTTTCTTATTATGGATTATCCAAACTCATGTAGCAGTGCATAGTCGTGGGTTTATACTTTATTATACCTGTTACCTTCTTCCTGTAGCCTGCACAAGACTACTTGAAAGTTTAGAGGATATGATCTAGCTAATATCAATTGTATTTCAGGTTTAAATATGAAGGTTTGTGTTACCATGGGAGTAGCACAAGTACTCGTTTGGGGAGTCTGGGCTGGTGCTTCTAACCACCCATCTCGGTGGAAGGTTTGGTTGGTGGCACTTGGAGATGGTCTGATCATTTTCTTTCAATATTATGACTTTCCACCATATTGGGGTTTTTTGGATGCTCATGCTGTTTGGCATGCCATCGCCGTTCCTGTATCCTATACCTGGTGGAGTTTTATTCACGATGACAGTGAATATAGAACAGCAGCACTCATCAAAAAAGCGAAGTAGAACAAAATTGTCCAGTGCATTCCTTCATGGATGGTAATTTAACCAAATTTGCAACCTGGTCATTTCTTGTTAATTCAGGTAGTGCTATTGCCTTTTTGCTCGCATGATAGTGTTTCCATTGGACGCTCTGCATAGCGAGTTTCTGTGTATCAAAACTTGTGTCAATATGGGTTCAGGTGTTTCTCTAGGGATTCTTGGTTAAGATTTTGGTTCTTTTTTTTTTTTTGAAAGCTCCAGGCCGTTGGTTTTTACGGATTTAGAAGTTGGTGTCTGTACCGCTTAGTGCGGAGCTTCCTTTTGGCTTTTGTCTTGTGGAGCTTTTGTGTATGCTTCTTTCAGTTTTAATAAGAATCCATTTCACATTTCTGAACTTTTGCCATTTAATTCCTTTCTGTCTGCATATCATTATCAGTCGTTTTACTATGTTATTATTACAAGGTTGGGTTAGTGCTTGATGGATACTTGTGTTAACTTGAGATCTAACGTTCTGAATGCTTAATCAACTTTCTTTTGTTATGCAACATACTAATTGATAATGTTAGTAATCATCATTATTTCAGTGAGGATTGTTCTGGTTGTAACATATGGCAGTAAAAAGAAAACAAACCTGTACAAGTTGTGAAGGACAATTCATGTCTAGTTTTTTACTTGAATGGGAAAAAGAGCATCTTGTTTCCATTTTCTTTTTGAGGGGGCTATTAGAGTTTAAGGGTAGGTTGGTATTTTCAATTGTTGGTTAGAGTGTATAAATAGGCTTGTTGTATCTCTTTTGAAGTAAGCCAGTACAATCAGTCCTCATTTTTGTGGCACATGGTTGTAATTTTCTGTGAAGAACTTTTAGAAATGAAAAGAGAAGATTTCAACTGACTTCTTTTTGTAACAGCAAGCAATCTGCTAGCCATGTGAGTGCAGCTCTTGACTTGATGGACTTTCCTACTATCTTGTTTCCTTTAATAATAGTTTCCAAGTCTTGAAAATTGAGGTTAACACTGGACTTCCTTCTATTTCTTATAACTTGGGTTTTCTAAAGGAAGTTCAATTTGAATATTCCATTTGGTATTTCTGCAAAAGTATGTGTGATTGCATATGATGTGTTTTCATGGGTTCCATGATTTGATTCCTGTCTTGTTGCTATTGTCTTATGCCAAGGCAATGAGGATTGCACATCAATAATCTGCCCAAGGTTTCTTACTACAGTTTTATACATTTACATAAAAAACAACTGTAAATTGAGGCAGATGGAACTTGTGCAAATAAAATTTTAACCACCATGGTTTCGATCTATACCGACTTTGGTAAAGCATTAAGCACCTACAACATTGAGTAGAAGGGGAGTTTTTCATTTCAACAGCTCTACTTGGGACACTCAGCAAATTATCTGTTATTATTGTATAAGATTTTGTCGAGACTTGATTGAAAATTGTGCAAGGTATGAACTGAGCACTCTCAAAACCTGCCGGAGAGAGATCCTAATCGTCAGAGACCGAAGCTGTCAGAAAGAGTGCCTGACCATCAGAGAACTGAAGTTAAGATGAACCACCCTTGTTATTTTCGAGATTGGCTTGGGATTCTGTGTGGACCAACCATGTTGCTAAGCAGCATCTGAGGAACAGGAAGGTGGTAAGTCGCACCTATTGTCTATTAAGTTTTCAGGGCATTATTCATTAGGGCTTTATCACAGTATGCTCAACAAGAAGGGTGTAAAATTTTTCGCTATAAATTTTTACTGCAAGTTTGCGACATTCTTTCCCGTCTAATCTTTTCTCTCTGTCGATCGACTAATAGTTTCAAATACGTATAGGTAAAGAGCATACTTGAACATGGGATATTGATTGTTTGTCTATAAATTTTCATTTTTTCTTTCTATTTTATTTTTCAAAATTAATCCCATTGCATATTTACTTCTTGCAAATTCAAGTATCCCAGAATACAACCATGGTTGTTTCTTCTGCTATGTTTGATTCATGTTGTCTTTGTAAGAGAGGAAAATATAAAAAAGAAAAGAAAAATCTTGTTTCGTTCTGATGACCATGGAATACCTAACGTATTGAAAGTAGAGAAAGACAAACAGATGGGGTATGTTAAGATGAAGTAGGAGAAACATGTTATTTCTTTTCTTTTAACCACAGCAGACCTAACAACACCAGTGGGACCTTTCAGTGATGAGATTTCCCTCTTTTGTGCTTCTGCCTCCATGAAAGATGTAATTAAATGTGATTCCGGAGAAACATTTTCCTTTCCTAAACTTATACATACAAGTGAAGCTTAAGCTAGTACCTATTTCCTCCCTTATCTGCAAGTTTTGAATTTGATTCTGTGCCATTTGATAGAAGAAACATATAGCATTCTTTCCTTTTCGGTTCCTAAAGAAGAAACCACTAGTTGAGCTTGACACCTTCAACTGTTGGAGATGTAAGTTATGATGAATAATAACCAATCAAATGGTAAATTAGTTTGCCATTTGAAAGACATTGATTGGCTGGTAAAGGATATGGAAGAAGATATATTTTGAATGCTTTACTATGCTAAATTGGCAACACCAATTCAACACAAAAATGAAGCAGAAAACTTTTATGCATTGTGAAGTTAGTACTAGTGTACAACCTCTAGAATCTCCATGTTTATGATTCCAAAGAAGAATACTAAAGCTACAATGACATGTCATTTTCACGAGAATGCTGGTTTCTGTTTTACTGAACTCTGTGCTTGGAAAGCCCAAGTGGGGCTCAATGATGATCCATAAAATACGATAAAGACAGCAGGAGGCCATAAGGATCTGAAAACATGCATTTCGCTGTAGAAAGAGACAAATGATTTAATAATAGCAAAGAAATGCATCTGTATTCTATTTGTGAAGTTGTTAGCTTCATATATGTTTTTTCTCATTCAGCATTTTGTGTCCTTGGAATGTTTTTTCTCATTCAGCATTTTGTATTCTATCAATGATTGTCATTTGGTGGTGAGGCTTATTAGGAACGAACCTATCAATGATTGTCATGTGTGCCATGGATGGGTTAGGTACAGTTGTAATAAACTAAATGAATATGTGACACAAAACTGAAAGAGCTAGTCGATGAACTTGCTAGATTTATCTGAAAATGGTCTCCCTTTTGGACCAAAAGTTAATTGAGTAATACTTTGCAGGAAGTCTCAGTTTTCCAACATCAAGGAGCAGTTGTTTGCAACCAAATGATGGCTGACATATCATCTGAGGCGACTGTGAATTTGGAAAAATGTAAGTTCCATGTAACAGTTCCTTTATATATTAATATTAATAGTTCATTTATGATTGCTCATGCATTACTTTCTTTCGGATAACTATTATATGCAAGTAACTTTAAGCCATATAAGTATTTAACTAGAAAATAAAGCCAGTACCAGTTCCAAATTTCGCACATTTATTTGTTCAAACTGTACAGTGTGAAGCAACATGGAGAAATTCGACTAAGACGTCTTTCTTAGAGGGTATACTTATAAACATGCTTTGCTTTGATGGGCTATGAATTTGATACTCTTTAACTTTAAGCCATATGTCTTTTTGCTAAAAGTATCTGTCTCAGTTGGATATGCTGATGACACAGAGCTGCTTGATTGTAGAAGGCTAGAAGCTACGGAAAATGGAACAAAAAGAAATTAATGATACTCTAATTTGGCCTAAGAGGTAGAAACTTGTTTGATCTTAATGCAATTTGATGTGATAGAAATTAACTCTATATATATATATAGAATCATTGTTTGCTTGTATCCTGGTACATTAGTTGATACCATTTGATCTGTTTATGAACTAGTGTCTTCCCTAAGTGTAATAATCACACTCCGCTGCTTTTTTCATTTTGGACATTTATTTTTGGGATGAAGGGAGTATTTTGGAACGATTAACTTCCAACATTCTACCAGGAGCTTCAATTCATAATTTGTGTTGGTTTGGTCTTTCTGTGCTGTGCATACAAGGAAGAAGTTGATCGGCAACTGCAATTTCCACCGACTAGCTAGCGTTCTTGTTGTTTCTGCGACGACTACAAATGCTGTTTCTTTTTCAGGACCATTTCAATTTTTGATGCTAGCTAGCAGTTGTACGATGTCTGTAATGTGTTTGGAAACTAATTTCTACCTCTTGACATCATACGAGTAGTACTTGCTTTTCTATCTCAACTGTCTGCTTGTGAGGGTGAAAGGGAAATGGTGCAGTGGTTGTTTTGCAGGTAGATGTTGTTGTATTTAGGGGTCGTTTACCCGACACTTATCGGTAAAATTCAACATTTTCACTTAACTTACTGGATAAAATTTTAATCTATTAAAAACGACATAGTATGCAACATTTTTATCTGGTTAGTAAGCGTTTAGTAAACGGCCCCTTAATCTTCAATAAGATATTGATGTTGACGAGGCGAGTCGAGTTATAGGTTATTCGAGTCGAGTTGTTGGTACACCATTGTGAGAAAAAGAATTTCGTTTAAATTTGAAGTCACGTTGAAAAACTGCAACATGTGAAAACACAATGAGTATGTTTAATTAATTGTACTTGTAAATGCAGCAATATTATTTCAGTATTTGCTTTTTTATTTTGAAACTATGATGCTGTTTCTTTTCCAGTTGGTTGAATTACCTTCATTCTTCATTAAGAAAATGAAAAAAACAGCAACCCTACCTTGATTTCCTCTGTGGAATCATCTATGCCGTTCCGAATGTCGTTGGCCTCCACGAAATTCAAAATCACGTGACAACACAAGCTCCCGGCTGCCATCTTAAAAACCCTTTTCCGGAAAGTCCTCTGGATACGTACGACTTTTCGTCTCCATCTTCACCTCCAACTCGATATTAATTGCTGATCATCTTCATGGAAATGGTTAATTATTAGTTAGAGAAGAAGCTGTGGTGAAATTGTATTGTAATATTACCCTGAAAAGGAAACACGTGAAAAATGGAAGTTAATTATATATGCATGTGATTCTTCACAAGTTTCCTTTTTTAGAATAAACTAATACGTAAAGAATATTACAGATCCATCACGATGACGGATACAGAAAAAGCAATAATAATAAAAATCAAAAAAGAAAAAAGAAATCTAAAACGGAAAACTCCATAAACAAACGTCTACACAAAAATCCACGTCATCTTCCAACGTCTGAGGTGGCAATACCATGAAATCCACGTCATCTCCCGACGTCTGAGGTGGCAATACCATGAGTAACGGACCCATGCTGTCAAGATATCCAGGCCTTTCGAACATCTCTTCATCACTGTAAAACGAAATTTCCGGCCATTCCTCCCTTTCATCATCAATCTCCATGACTTGATCGAGTCTTGGCCGGAATGCCTCCGCTGCCTCCGCCGCCGCCTTCTGTATATCCTTTATCTGCTTAGACTCCGGTACCGGAAGCCGCCATATCGAGTCAGCAAAATTCAAACACGCAGAACGACCTCTCATGGCCAAAATCGCCACGTCATGTGCCCTGGCTGCCATTTCAGCTGTGGGATGTGTCCCCAACCACACCCTCAACTTTGTATTTGGCTCTCTGACCTCACAAACCCACTTTCCGGTATTCCTCCGCCTGACTCCCCGGTAAACTGGGTGTCTGGTTTCCTTGAACTTCTTCCTTCCGGCTTTCTTCTTGGGGTTTTCTGCAGCCAGCATCACTTCTCCGACGGCAAGAAAAGCATTCTTCATATATAGTTGGTTGGGTTCTGATATCGGTAGAAAAGGTATTTCCAACTTATAACTGATGTTTTAAGGTTTGAGTTTGAGTGTGTGTGTGTGTGTATATTATGCAGTGTGATCGTATATTATATAGTGATATTTTTGTGCATAGTGGGGTTAACGAGAGATATTTATTTATGTGCATAGAGTGGGGTTATAGAAGTAGTGTTTGACATTCAATATGGTCCCATCAATATGCACAGTGAATCAAACTATTCAGTTTTTAACATTTGAATTCTTGATGCTAACGATTTAAACAAGTATCCGTTAAATGGTCGAATTATGTAAATACAACAAAATCGGGTTTATTGAAGGTTAATTAAAACTGTTAAGTGTCATAATAGATTGTTTTATAGGTATAACTAAAATCATGACTAAAAAAGTTACCTAAATGAAAATGGATGGAGAGTGCTTGAGGCAACTTTCTAGGCTACCTAACCCACATCAGAACTCGCCTTGGGGAGCCGTTATTACAACAAAATCGGGTTTATAGGACAATTCTAATTTCTAAGCGTCCTAATAGACTTATTTATAAGATTTAGTTTATAGGACCAAAAAAATAAAACATCTTATCTGAAGGCATTGTAATTAGTTTATATGACGTTGTAATAAATTTTTTAGAACACTTTTAATATAAAACGTCTCATTAGTAACTTTATAAGACACTACAAACTGTCCTATAAAAACAAATGTCCTTTAAAAAATTGAGTTTATAGGACACTTTCTAAAAAATGTCCTATAAAGTTGTTAATACGACACTTTATATTAAAAATGTCATAAAAAAAACTTGTTAAGACGTTCAAAAGCGTCATATAATCTTATTACAACACCTATAAACGGTTGAAATTAGTTTGTATGGTTTGTACAAATAGTTTGGTTTGTAAATGAAACCACCTCTCTTTATATATATTAACCAACCATATGGTACAAACTATGGAAACCGATCTTGACCAATCACATTTTTTCTTCACTTTAGGTTCAAATCTAAATTATAAA